GATTATTTCATTTTAGAGAAGACTCGTATCCTCTTGAACTTTCTCAGTGGCACACGTTGTCATCTTTGAGGTTGTGCTCAGTATTTGGAAGCAAGCCCAAATGATTCAAGAGCCAGATGAGTTGTAAAACAGATGACCAAACCGGGTAAAATAATACACTTTTTATTCAACACCTTTATAAAGAACAGTGTTAACTAAAGCATTTTCAGAGTAATAAAGTCCTTTCTTTTATTCAAACAAAATCTTCCAAACCTTTTCAATTCCCACATAATAAGATTGATTATCTGTGGGATGAGTTTTGCATGAGCAGTGTCATTTGGTTTCAAATCAGCATTTCTTTTCTGTGATTTTGAAATAAATGTTTCCTTGGGTCCTATGGATGCTGGAATTTTCCCCTATAATTTAGACAGTTTGTTTTTGGGATAACTTGAAAATATCATTTCCATCACTATCCTCCTCAAATACATATTATTTTCTCCAACCTCCCCTTGAAAGTTCCTAACAAATGTCAACTCTTTATTTCTTTTTATGATTCAAAATGTGTAGCACAGACTTTGCAAAATTCATCGTGTTCAAATTTCCTTTCGGTATGAGTCAGTGTTCTCATAGCTAACCCTCTGCTTGGACAAATCCAGTCTTTGACATTTCTGAGTTTTCATCACTCCTTTGTACTATATCATGAGTGTCTTTATTACCTTTCTGAAGCCTTTGTGCCAAGCAGAAAAATAGAAACAAAACACTTCCTCTTTATAATCTTCCTGTACTACTATCCCTCTAGATGTCTTACATCATTTATGTTTGTTTAACAGTTTTAAAAATTTGTGTTAATTCTTGGCTTTCTGTAGCTATCATTCCTCATTGCCAATCAGCACAACCTGTAGCACAAGAGTGAAAGAACTGCTGTGACTATGGCATGATCTTTATGATCACTTTATGACATGATCTTTCCATGTACCCTTATAGCCACCCCGCTGAGAACATGAGCCTCATTGCTTCATAGTAATGGAAAAATTATCAAAAGCAAAAGTATCATCATATTTGCATAACTATAAAATTCAAAACACTTGCATAGTATCTGTAGATGATACATCTAATTCACTAACAAAGGAATGGCTCTTCCTTTTTGGCAAATTGAGGAGCTGCTAAAGAAATTGAATATGTCCTCCCTCAACAACCTGATCTTTTCACTCCTTTTCATCATTGCTATTCAAAACATGGTTACATTATTAGGGAGATGTTGACAATTTAAGGGGAATAAAATTACAATATAATGTAATATTAAATGGCATGATCTTACGTAGTCAGCCAGCTTTGGTTCAACTGCTAATCCTGCCAGTCTACCGGTTGTAGAAAGTACTTGGAAAAGTTACTTAACTTCTCCCAAGTGAAGTTTCTGACCTAGAAAATTGGGTAATAATAATTACCTCTTGTGCTATTTTCAAGATTAAACTTCTTTAAATGTGTAAGGTGTTTTAACCCATTCTATGGCACTAAGTGTTAGGATGGTACCTATTATTTATTTAAAGCCATTTACTATGCCAGCCATTAAAAACAGTAAGTAGGATATGATGACTGCCTTAAAGCGGGGGTGGGGAATGTGGGCCCTGCAGGCCCTACAAGGCCCATGAAATCATTGGTCTGGCCCTGCTAAGGCAAACACAGATGGGACTTAAAATTCAATAAGTCTATAGAGGCTAATCTTTAAATTGATAATTTTATATTGCCCACAAGTGATGTTATAAATACTAAATGGCCCTCGGCAGAAAAAAGTTTCCCCTCCCTGCTTAAAGAGTTCAATATCAGCATAATTCTGAGCTCAAATTGTTCCATTGGAAGAAAAATATAAACCAGAAAAATAAGCCTAAATGCTATGACACTTCTGTAATATGTAGAATTAGGTTTTTATCCTTGGATAAATTATAACCAGAATAGCCTAATCAACAGCATAATTGTTAAGGAGTTGTTACTGATTTTCTCATGTAGATTATGCATCATGGAAACAAAACTTTGTTCTGGAACCTTCTAAGTTTGAGTTCAAAAATTCTTTGCTTATCTATGTGACTGCTTTCAATTAAACTGTCAGTCTTCCTCTTGTTTATTATACCAGTGGAGAAGAAAAAGTTATAAATGTAAGAATCTATTTGCTTATAGGCATGTCAGTCAACCTCAGAAGGCCTCCATCCCCACCTCCTCTAACTCTAAAAAATTATTTTCTCTTCAATATAACTGAGCATGACAGCAATTTCATTCAAAATACAGTAACCAACATATGATCCTATTTATCATGGCTTCCCTCTCCTACCAAAAAAGGGACACAAAATTCCATAGAAGGACAGAACTTGCAGTAAGGAAAAACTTGACCAGAGAGGACATACAATCTTCTGGTATGGCTGGCTGAAAAGGTTGCAATGACACCTTTCACTAAGATTTGTGAGGAGGGAGTGGATACAACCCAGGATACTCATTTGTGAGATTATCTGAGTGGTGTTGATGATGTTATAGCTCTGTGATTAATGGTGAAATGTGTTGGACAGTGTTAGATTGGTCATCAGTTTTACTTTGTGCTAGTATAACTGAAATTCTTTTTCTGCATGTTTTCCTCCAATTTCTCATGACTGAAATATCTTTACTGTTTTTGAATGTAATATTTTGTACATGATACCAGAACAGACAGCTAGACGTATGAACTAACATCAAATGCTTGTTTATTTTGTGCTTTATATTACCAAATAATAATTTCTTTTGAAATTACCTGGTTTGTAATCCAACAATGTCTCTCTTCTTTAAGTGATCTTCCATTGTCAATACATTTTCTTTGTTATGTTGCTCTACTTTATGAACTTAAAGATAATTATAATCACTCTCTGTATTGAATATTTAATAATTATCCCTTTATTCCTCTAGCCTTTCTCATAATAATCAAAAACCTTAATCAGGAAAATTTTGAAGTTTTCCTAGTTAATGAATTCTAAGATGAACTTCATTTTTGAGTTCCAAAATTACCTGTCCTTAAAAGAATCCCAAGATGGGGCTGATTTTGTGGAGCAGTGGATTAAGCTACTGCCTGTGACATCAGCATCCCATACAGTCATCAAATCAAGTCTCGATGCTCTACTTCTTATCCAGCTCCCTGCTAATTCACCCATGAAAACAACAGAAAATGACCCAAATGCTTGGGTCAGATGGAGTTCCAAGCTCCAACATTCAGCCAGGGGATTTGGAGAGTGAACCAGAAGATGAGCGCACTCATGGTTACTCACTGTTGTCTCTTTCTGAAACTCTACCTTTCAAATAAATAAATGCTTTTTAAAAATCGACAAGAAAGGAAATGGATGCAAGAAGTAAATCCTCAGCTCTTTCAGTACTAATGGGTGAAGTACCAAGTACAGTACTAGAAAAATGTGTATAATTGTTAATATTTATTCCCATGGTGGTCTAATAATTCTCAACTTAAATAGGCATATTCTGTGCTACCAACTCACAAAGAGTACTGCTTGCTTAGTAGAAAAGACATCATATTAAATGACTCAAGGAGTTAATGCTAGCATGAAAGTGAGAAAATAGTGAATAATGAAGCAGAGCTGTGGCCATATCATTGAAGATGGGAGACTCCAGTGAGCCTGCCCTCTCTCCTTTGACTTTATGGATTAACAGGTGATCATCATCATTTCAATAGGAGGTGCTGATAAATCTCTCTGAAAATTCATGATGAGATGGTGTTCTCTGCAAAATTCATTTTGAAGAACATTCTGTATCTACTGCCTTCACAGGCTACAGATACTCACAAGCACTTACCACATGATTAATTTGTAACTTTGACATTCCAAAAGACATACTTTAAAAAAAAAGATTTATTTATTTATTTGAAAGGCAGTGAGTAAGAGAGAGAAAAGAGAGAGAGAAGAGAAGAGAAGAGAAGAGAAGAGAAGAGAAGAGAAGAGAAGAGAAGAGGAGAGGAGAGGAGAGGAGAGGAGAGGAGAGGAGAGGAGAGGAGAGGAGAGGAGAGGAGAGGAGAGGAGGGGAGGGGAGGGGAGGGGAGTGGAGGGGAGGGGAGGGGAGGGGAGGGGAGGGGAGGGGAGGGGAGGGGAGGGGAGGGGAGCGGAGGGGGAGGGGAGGGGAGAGAGAATCTTCCAACTGCTGGTTCATTCCCCAAGTAGCTGCAATGGCCAGAGCTGGGCCAATCCAAAGCCAGGAGTCAGGAGCTTCTTCTGGGTCTCTCATATGGGTGCAGGGGCCCAAGGACTTGGACCACCTTCTGCTGCTTTCCCAGGCACATTAGCAGGGAGTTGGATGAAAGTGGAGCAGCTGGGACTTGAACCAGTGTGCACATGGAATGTGCCTTCACCTACTATACCACAGCTCCAGCCCCAAAACGCATACTCTTGATTTATTAGTGTAAAAAACTAATAAATGTTTGTTAAACTCACCAGAACAAGCTTACCATGCACCTATGTCATAAAAGGAAAGTAGTGATCCAATTCTTTTGCTTCAAAATTTGGAAATGGTTCTATCATTTTCTCCCCAAAGTGAAGTTGATTAGTGTCTCTCTCTCTCTCTCTCTCTCTCTCTCTCTCTCTCTCTTTCTCAATTTCAATCTCTCAATCTCTCAATCTCTCAATCTCTCAATCTCTCTCTCCCCTCTCCACCTCTACACCTCTGGCATTTTGCATAGAGCTCCACTTTACTTTACTTTTAAATTGTTAATTCTTTTTCTTGAGTTTTATCCTACTGAATTTTGTTCCTTTAAAATGGGGGTTAAGATAATCTTTGGCAAGCCACCAGCTAACCATGAAAGTATTTAATGTGACCTTGCTCCAGTATTAACATTTTCACAAACCCCAGTAGGCAGCCTCTTACTGTTTCTTCATTATCCTTTCCAGCTGTGGCTGAAAGCCCAAATGATGCCACTTTACCCAAGAGGTGTTCTGTACATGTTTGCTACTTTGATCACATCCTTTCAGCACCGTGAGTCTTTGCCTGACAGATTATCTTCTCCACAGGCAGGCAGCCACATCCAGACTTTGATGGGGTCCCAAAGCCTTCAGCATCGCAGCCGGGAGCAGCAGCCTTATGAGGGAAATATAAACAAAGTGACCATCCAGCAATTTCAGTCACCATTGCCTATTCAGATCCCCTCTTCACAGGCCACCCGGGGACCTCAGCCTGGACGGTGCTTAATTCAAACTAAAGGGCAAAGGAGTATGGATGGTTATCCAGAGCAGGTGAGAAGTGCTGTGTAATCACTGATGAGTTTTCAGGAAAATCCAAAGAATCTAGTTTGCCTTCCCCCGTTAATGCGGTACCACAGACATGCTGCTGGGGTGGAACATGCTTTGTAGGTACTAAATCATTATGTTCACTGGTTAAGGACTAACATATAGGAATTTACAGGTTGGTAAATGCCTATTTCACATAAAAGAAAATAACAAGTCAGAAGTTTTTCGGATACTGTTCTATACCCTTCTCTTAGTTTAAAGATGGCTCTATAGAACAGAATTTGAGTGCTAGAAAGAGCTCAGATGGATTCAGTATATTCACCAAAGCCTCGGATGAAACTAACAGCGTGAAAAGGAAAGGGTATTATTCCCCTGTTTTTGTGGGAAGACGTTTTTTAAAAGTTCTGTCCTCTGGTTATTGAATGGTATACAGAGATAAAGCTTTGCCAGGAGGAAAATTACCAACAGTTAGAAGGGAAATATTTCTGAAATGCTCCAGAAGTTACTGATAAAAGCCTTGTAGCATAAACAAATTGCTGTACTTCTTACCCTGCCTAAAATTAGGATTTGCTTCTCCATGGTAGAATCTATTTTTCTCCCTTAGGATGAGAAAATTAAATGGGATCTCATCTATTGAATTACGTTAAGCTTAGAAAAGAAGATGTTAAGACCTTAAGCATCTCACAAAATTATTATTTCATTCTTCAGATAATTAGGCAAGGCTCCCACTGACTTCTTAACTCCTTAATATGGTTTATGCAGGTTCCACTTTATTATTGCTTATTCAAAGCTTTATATGTCACCCCACCTTATTTTGTAAACATATGGAACAAGATTAATTTCAGTCTCCAGTTTTTGCTTCATATTAAAAGCCATTTATCATTTGGACGCCAGCTGCTCTAAGCATTGTCTCTATGTCTCAGTACCCTTCTTAAAGCTGCAATTATGTGTTAATCATTTTCAAAATCATAATATACTTTTTTTTTTTAACAGGCAGAGTGGACAGTGAGAAAGAGAGAGAGAGAGAGAAAGGTCTTCCTTTTGCCGTTGGTTCACCCTCCAATGGCCGCCGCTGCAGCCGGCGCACCACGCCTATCCAAAGGCAGGAGCCAGGAGCCAGGTGCTTCTCCTGGTCTCCCATGGGGTGCAGGGCCCAAGCACTTGGGCCATCCTCCACTGCACTCCTGGGCCACAGCAGAGAGCTGGCCTGGAAGAGGGGCAACCGGGACAGAATCCAGCGCCCCGACCGGGACTAGAACCCGGTGTGCCGGCACCACTGGGCAGAGGAATAACCTATTGAGCTGCGGCGCCGGCCCATAATATACTTTTTGAGATAATTTTCTTCCTTTCCTGCCTTGATCTAGGCCAAGTGTTGGATTTCAAAAGATAATGAACTAGACAGGTGCCTTTAATCAGATAATGATGTGAGGTTTATAATTCCCCCAAGAGGTTCTAAAAAGTTAATAAAGTTTTAAATTGTGCTTTCCCAAGGAATTTTGTGAGATTAGAAAATCATTCGTATCCACCACACCACAGATATAAAACCTCAAACCCACTTCTCTGATTTAGTTATTTCTATTAGGCTACTATGTGTTCTTTTTTTCTTACCAGAATTGATGTGTTTAAAAATATAATGAAATCAAAGCCCTCTGTTTTCACTGACTTTGAACAGTTGATTTAGTATTAGCATGCGATTAGTCTGAATATCCTAAATTTAAAGGCCACCTGAATACTCTTTCTCAAAATAATACATAATTTTATGAAATTTGACAAATGAAAAGATTACTTAAAGTTTCCATTCCTATTAAGTGCAAAATGTTATGATTCTCTCAAATAATCTATTTTAGTAGCTTTCAAATGTTTTTGATGCACAGCTATGATAACACCAGGGGGCACTCAAACTGAGAGAATATTATAAGCATTCCATGGTTATATTAAGAACTTAAATACAATTCCTATTGCCTTCATGGTTTTTGCTGCCTGGAAATGCAGAAATAAAAACTTCAGGGTGACTGTGAGAAAACCTAAAAAACATTTTAGCAACTAGCACTAATCCCAAAAGTACATCCTCTCCTGCCAGCTACAAATCTTAAGATAGTTGCTTTAAGCATTTTTCACGATTCAGGATAACATTGTCCACAGCAGTGTCATGCTGGAGTCTGCTCATGCTGACTCATCATCATGCACATCTCTTCCTGACCCCACTCTCACTGACTTCACATGAATAGGTTGAATTTATGGGAATAAGAGCACCATGAACATCTGCAAACACCTCAGATCAGGCCACTGTTCCATCGCCACCAGATGTTCAACTCTTTCAGTGCACCACTTTTTGCAGTGCTGGTTTCTTTCATTGCCTTTGCTTTTCGTAACCTCCCCACTTCTTCACTGAGCTCTGTGACGTTCAAGAATACTAGGACTAGATCTACAGAATTAGGAGCTCTAGTTTCATTTTATTGTTATTAGCCATGTGACCCTGATCAAGGCATTAACTCTCTGAAGTTCTGTTTCACTCCTTGTAACATGAGAGCATTACAACCAGTAACATCCAAAACGTTCGTTACACATACATACATACAGAGAGATAGAGGGAGAGGGAGAGGGAGAGGGAGAGAGAGGTGAGAAATACTGGCAATGTGAAGGCAGAAATAGAAAAAAAAAGAATAGAAATATAAGAGTTTGAGAATTCAAATAATGGAAGGAATTTAATGATTATCAGCTCCAACTTTCTTAGTGTATAGGGAGAAAAACAAAACAAAAATAAAATAAATAAATAAATAAAAGGCCAAGAGAGGTCATGTAATTCATTTTCATAATGGAAATATTTTATGTATTTTTTTTACTTTCCTAAGTTATATTTCTTTTGAAAACTAATGTGTGTGTGTGTTAAAGCAAGACTTCTCTAAATTTAGAAAGGCATAAAAAATGGAGAAAAAAACTCAAAAACATTTTAAAACTATGTAGAGTTTTATATGAAAACTGTGGAGATTTAACTGCAAAGGTAACATAAATTTCTAATGTGGATTTTGGACATGGATTTTGTTTTAACAAACACACCATTTTAATAAGACATTCCTATTGATGCATTAAAGAGAAAAAGTTCTGCTGAAATGATCCTAGCACCAATGTTAGATTTAGTCAAGTATAATACAAAAAAAAAAAAAAAAACCTAAGTTGTTCAACATTTTTAAGAGCAAGCAGATGCCATGAACAGTGCAAACAAAGTCTATTGAGTACAATGAAACTCCTCTATTCTATTTCAGTAAAGCTTGGAAATTTTGCTTAAAAAAATGATCACTTGCTGGACTCTTTCAGGTAAAAAAAAAAAAAATCCAAGTACAATGAAAAAACATTTGTTGATTTAGGAAAGGAAGTCCAAATGAGAATAGGACAGGAAGAAACAGCAGTTTCATTGAGTACCTGCTGTGTGTTTTGCACTATGTATCTCACACACAGGCCTGGCTTCCAGTCACCTGTGCAGTTGTACAAGATTCTGTGTTTCAAAGGGTCCCCCACTGTGTTAATGCTCTACTGCCCCCAGCTTTGCAATTCTTAATAGCTGTTGATTGAGGAGCCTTACATTTTTGTGCTACATCAGACCCCATTAAATATATAACTGGTCCTGCTTAATCATTTGATTTCATTTAATCCTCACAATATCTTACCTCCTTTTTTACAAATGAAGAAATGAAGGCACAGAGAAAAGTTGTTTCTAGAAGGTAAAATTGGTCAAGCTGAAATTTTTTTTAATGTTTATTCATTTATTTATTTGAGAGGCAGAGTTACAAACAGAGAGGCAGAGACAGAGAGAAAGGTCTTCCATCCACTGGTTCACTCCCCAATTGGCTGCAATGGCCAGAACTGGGCCAATCTAAAGCCAGGAGCCAAGAGCTTCTTCCAGGTCTCCTATAAGGCTGCATGGCCCCAAGCACTTGGTCCATCCTCTACTGCTTTCCCAGGCTATATTATTAACAAAAACATATCTCTGTATACTTTACTGTGACTTAAATAACTAGTGTATTTTTAATTATGACCCTATAAAAGCAATGCTACCACTGATAACATTGAAAGAATAGGAAGAAACATCATTTGTGACCTAGGCAAAGAATTTAACTTTGTTTAGACAGAAAGAATCACTTAGTAAACTTTGATGTTCTTCCTCAGAAATAAAACCATCTAAATACTCAAACCACCCATCACAACAAAACAGGGCAAAATATCCAAGAATTCCAAATACAAGAGTTTAATGACAATGAGTATTGACCTTATTTTTAATGATAAGATTAAATAAAATAAAATTTTGGAAGTAACTTTTAAACCATAAGTGCTCTTGGGATTCGAGGTATTAATTTCTGAATACTGTAAATCTAGTTTCTTTTAATAGATGCTACTTTTTCTTATAAAAGGAACAGGTTTTATGTATGTCAAATATACAGTTTTAAGAACATAATGATACTTCCCATCCTCTCTCCTCCTTTCTATAGATGTTCTTAACAAAGAAATCTGCCACAAAAACCATGTATGTGCTTGTCACCTGACATTCTTTATCAGAGGATTTTTCTTGAAAGAGGGCTTTCATGCGTAAGCCATTTAGATTATTGACAAACAGAGGATTAGAGTTGATGGGATCTTATTTCATTAGAAAGAGAAGGCTTGACTCCCATTCCACATGAAAACTTCTTAGCAATCATATCCATCCTATTTTCTATCCCCTATGTTTCCCAGCCCAAGTGAAGACACTTAAAAGATCCTACTGATACCTTGGTCTTTTCCTCAAATAAACTGATTTTATGAATTTGCATGTAACCTGGGTAATGAGAATTTTCATAACTCTATTATTATATAATAATATTATATTATTATATAATATATAGTTATTATATAATACTATTGATAATATGTAATATAATAGAAGTTATATAATATATAATAGAAGTTATTTTCATAACTTCTATTATGTAACTAAGGTTGATAACCTCTGCTCTAGATTATTTTGTAGCTCAACA